CCCAGCTACTCAGGAGGTTGAGGCAGGAGAATTGCCTGAACCCAGGAGGCGGAGGTTGCGGTGAGCCGAGATCGCGCCATTGCACTCCAGCCTGGGTAACAAGAGTGAAACTCTGTCTCAAAAAAAAAAAAGAAAACATATTTTTTCAATTCCAGTAGAGGTCTAGTTAAGGGAGGTAATTTCCTTGTAATAACTAATGTGTTTGATGTCCAAATGTTTAAAAAAAAGTATTGTAAATAGAACATAACTTCACAACTCAGGTTTCCAAGATGATAAGAATCAGTTAATTTTACTTTACATAACTTTTTCCAACAAACAGAGAGGGAAAAAAACCACAAAAGAAAATCCAGAATAGGTAAGTACTATATTCAAAGTTATATGATAAAGATGGGGTTCAGCTAGAAACTAATAAATATCTGATATATGAATTACATAAACTCACTTTTTTTTTTTTTGAACTCACTTTTAAGTTAGGACAATTTCTAAATTTGGATGTTATTTCTAAATGCTTTATAATAAACTTTACAAAGAAATATTCTATGGATTCAGGACAGTAATATAACAAATTCATTCCTGCCGGGTTAGGTAACGTGTCAGAAAAATAACTTTTAGTACAAGATTTAAATCATCATCCCCAGTAAAATATACAAAGATAGTCGGTTCGTTTTCTGTTATTTTTCTTTTCACAAAAATAGAAAAATGTCTCTGGAATTCAGTAAGAACTCCTCCAGTAAGAGTTCTCTTGCAATTGATGCAAGTGAGTACCCTTCCTCCCTCTGACCACTGTGCTAACTCAGCATTGTTTAACTCTGATCCCATTTATCTACTAAACTTTGCTCATTTAAAAAAGTAAATTCATGACATCCACTGCAATATACAAAAAGTCACTCATACAGGCTGGCAGCACATTGGAAGTTCTGAACTAACATAACTCTAACAAAAATAACATTTCTCAATTCTGTGACACAAGAAGCAGACAGCAACCTGTGTAATGTACCAAAGATCTAGCTAGAGTTTAAAGAATCTAAATAAATAAAAAAATTAAATGCCTGGATATAATTCTTAATAAGCTATTTACTTAAAGAAAAATCTAAGGCTGTCTTCAAAATCTCTTTCCAGTTTTACCGTAATCTTTCTTCATGGGCAGATCATAACAGAATTCCCAGAAACGGGCTGTTTTTAAATCCCCAGTGATATTTGCCTTTATTTGCACTGTGGAAAATGACACACTGTATCATGACTTTCTGGACAGTCCATAGGTTTTATTTACATTGCTTTGAGAAACAGACGAAAGACATCTTTTTTATAATTGTCTTACAGCAATCTGTTTTGAGAGTAACATATAACACAAATTTTTATATGTAATATATGAAACATAAATATTTATATATACAATAACATAACTAGACAAATAAATGAAGTCAGTATTAAGTCTCTTTAAGTATAAATTTATAAACTGACCACCAACCACAGAACTTAGCCCTGTAATGGAGAAAAATTATTGGTCTGAAAAAATATTAAAATATCACTGTCACTAACATGAAAAAAAATTAAAAGTAGAAAATAGAAAATAATAATCACCGGAAAAC